ACCTGACCTGAATTTTAAAAAGCACGTGAGACTTAGCCCAGGAAGGACAACAGTGTGCACTCCTGGTAGAGCATGGCCCCAGGAAAAGCCTGGAGACCAAAATTTGAGGGCCCGAGTGGTGGGTGGCAGGAGATGACGCTCAAGGAAGTAGGGGTGGCCCTGGTGCCGCCCTGATGGGGAAGGCATTGGGCTGGCTGTAGCCTCCCCTTGCCCCAGCGCAGTGAGTCCCTCTGGAAAGAGCCTTCTGGGTCACCTTGCCTGGACCAGCAAGTCCAGAAAGGACGGATGCCCCTGAGAAAAGATAATAACAGCACTTCGCTGACAGAGTTTACATTCAACACTCTTATACTGTATTTTCAGAGTCAACAGAGCTTTGCTGAGCACTTATTAGGTACTTCACTGATGCACATTCCTTTTCTCCTTAATATACTTTTTCCTTTCTTGATAAAAAATCAAGCATTTCCCCTCCCCAGACATACCCCCAGGAACCAGCTTAGTCTATGTCCTTCTAGATTTTTTTTAAGCACTCACATAACCTGCATTCTCCCACATAAAAGTATCATGTTGCTTTGTGCAGAATTTTTCCCTCCATCAATGGTCCATCTTTCTCCATCTTTTCCTTTTCACCCAACAACACATCCTGGCAATCTGCAGAGATTGCACAGAGATCAACCTCATTCTTTTAAAAATGGCAAGATAGTCCTCAGTGAACCTGTGGGTTCATTTAGCCATCCTGTGGATGGACACATAGATTGTTCCCAGTTTTTTGCTCTTGCAACCGTGTGGCCCTGAGCCCTGGCACACATGTGTGAGAAACGTTTTGCACACTTTAAATGTTAGACACTTCCACTTGCCTGCCAACACGCCTCTGCACCTTTGCCCCCTTGGAAGCTGCATATGACCATGTCTGCCTCCCCGTGCACTCCCAGCACATGTTATGAACCCTTTTCTGGTTGTGCCCATATAGTGGGCACACGAGTGGTGTCTCACTGTCGCTGTGATGCCTGTGCATTCTTTCATTTATTCAGCAAATATTTACCAATCTCCTAATGTGTGCCAAGCACCGTGCTACGTACCAGGGATGCAGCTATCAGGAACAGCATGGCGCCTAGGACCTCTTCACAAAACCCAAGATGCAAATAAGGCTCTGGGAGGTTAAGAGACAGGCCTAAGGTCACCCAGCGAGGGAATGAGGGAGCTGGGAGGTGAATCTACAGAGTTTGAGGTATTCTTCTTCCTAAATCGTGCCTCAAATGGACATCTCAACGCAGGCTCTGTCCCCCCTTCCCTGGCTGCTTGCCCTCCCCCCAGGACTGCTGGGTCCCCTCAGTGACTACTAGGGCTTGCAGGAGTGACAGCTGAGAGAGCAGCCCCCCCCACAGGCTGGGCTGTATTTTTCTCAAACCTCACTTCACACCAGTATCCCACTGAGATTAAGTCTCTTGGCCAGAGAGGCAGGTTAGGTTGTGTTCAGAAGATGCAGAGCCTCTTGGTGGCTGAATTTAGCATCTATTTCTCTGTGTTTCCTGAATTTGGGTTTCCAGCAGGCCTGTCCCCAAACTACTGCTGCCCTACCCGAAACTAAGGAAGTGAAAGAATGAATCTGTGGTTTGATTTTTCTCCTCTTTTCATCATGTGTCTGACTGCGAGAGGGGAGCTGTGTGCTTGTAAGTGCTTGCTTGTGCGTGTCTCAGTGTGTGGGAGGGGAGGCGTGTGAGAGCCTGTGTGTGTATATGTGTATATGTGGTGGGGGATGTCTGGGAGTCCGCGCCTGGCCCTTGGGCTTTGTGTCTGAGTGGGTTTGAATGGCAGTGTCTTTGTATCTGTAACTGGGTGTCTGTGTGTGTTTGTGCCACTCTTTTCTAAGTGTTGGTTTCAGGGAAGCATGGGCTTAAGGATGGGTTCATAAAAAACACAAGTGACCCAGTCTGTCTGCTTCCCAGTTCACTTCCTGTTACAGAGATCGTGTCTCCATAGTGGAAGTGCTCCTACCTTCAGTGATCATATCATAAAAGGACACTGTCCAGGGAATTGGGAAGTCCTTTGGTGAGTGGGTCTCAGAGTCGCTGACTTATCCTCTGACCCTCTGTCTCCACCTCCTCCCTCAAAACATGCTCTCTAGAAGCACTTCCCAAATTCTTTTGTACTGAGGTGTCGGTGCCTATCATGGCATTATGTGGCCTTATGTTTTTAAACAGGGAACCAGGAGGTTTGGGGCAAAGCATGAATCTCTGATCTCAGAAGATGATTTCTGCCCTCCAAGAGACCTTGATCAAATCACTTCACCTCTGAGAAATGCAAATCAAAACTGCAATGAGGTATCACTTCACACCAGTTAGAATGGCCATCATTAAAAAGTCCATGAACAATAAATGCTGGAGAGGGTGTGGAGAAAACAGAACCCTCCTACACCGTTGGTAGGAATGTAACTTGGTGCAGCCATTGTGGAAAACTATACGGAGATTCCACAAAAAACTAAAAATGGACTTACCATATGATCCATCAATCCCACTCCTGGGCATATATCTGGAGGGAACTCTAATTCAAAAAGATACGTGCACCCCAGTGTTCATAGCAGCACTATTTACAATAGCCAAAACATGGAAGCAACCTAAATGTCCATCCACAGATGACTGGATAAAGAAGTTATGGTATATTTATACAATGCAATACTACTCAGCCATAAAAAAGAATAAAATAATGGCATTTGTAGCAACATGGATGGACCTGGAGATCATCATACTAGGTAAAGTAAGCCAGAAAGAGAAAGAAAAATACATATCATTCATATATGGAATAAAAAAAAAGCAAAACATAAATGAACTTATTTACAAAACAGAAACAGACTCACAGACATAGAAAACAAAGTTACAGTTACCAGCCGGGAGAAGGGGTAGGAAGGGCTAAATTGGGAGTTTGAGATTTGTAGATATGACTATATATAAAATAGGTACCAACAACAAGATCATATGTATACAGCACAGGGAACTATATTCAATACCTTGTAGTAACCTATAATGAAAAAGAATATGAAAACAAATACATGTATGTATACGTATGACTGAAACATTATGCTGTGCACCAGAAACTGACACAACATTGTAAACTGACTATACTTCAGTTAAAAAAAAAATCATTTCACCTCTGAGTCTCAGCTGAGTTTCCAGGAGGTCACAGGACCCACCAAGGGCAGACTGCATGCCAGGCTGTTGATGCGTGCATTATTTCAGTGACCCCTCAAGGGAGGCACTTCAGTCTCCCATTTTACAGAGGAGGAGACTGGGGCTTGGAGAGGAAGTGACTTGCTCAGGCCCCATCAGCTGAGATCTGAAAGAGGACCTTGTACCACACGCCATTGCTCTGGGGCCAGCTCTGCTGAGCGTAGAGTCCTGCAAAACTCAGCCTGCCTTTTTTGTTTACTTGAGATGTAGTTGACCCATAACATATGAGTTTCAGGTGGACAACTCAATGATTCACTAGTTGTGTATATTGCAAAATGACCATGCAATCAGGCCTTCCTCCAAGGCTCCCCGGCGCTGTTTCTCATTCCCCTCCCCTCCACCGCAGATACCCATCATTTCCTCGAGTTCCACCTACTCCTTTAGCCCAAGTGCCAAGTGTAATACAAAAGGGAATAAAAAGGCCGCTGAGCCCTCCAAGGTTGGAATCATCACGCTGTTAGACAGAGGAGGTTCATGAGTCTCGGACATGACTAGTCCCCCAGCAAGGAGTGCAGGAGCCAGTGTGAACTTGAGTCTGACCCTAAAACCAAGGCTTGTGGGTTTGAAGATTGAAAGGCAATTTACCTGGGACCCTGACCGTTCCCTAATCCTGTTATCTGACAGCTGGAGTTCCTTCAAAACAATCTAGTACTTTATGTGACATATTAATAACAAAGTGTCACTGAGTGCCTGCCATGTGCACTGGGCCTTGACACCACTTCACTCGCATGACCTCATTGAGCTTTCCCAGCCCCCTGCAAGAGCACCCATTTTACAGATGATAAGACTGAAGTTTGGAAGCTGTGTGGGCCCAGGGCTCTGTCCACTGTTGTCTTCCCTCTTGGCCTTTAGCACAACGCCCATACGAGTAGGTACTCAGTGTTTGCTGGGGGAGGAACTCTGTCTCGGAAGATCTTTGCCACCCTCTGGTCCAGGCCACACTCCCTCCTTGCTGGCCGTACTCTGCCCACAGCTTTTCCTCTTGTCCCTTCTGTCCCCATGCATCAGACACTAGACCCTCCTGTCACTTGCCTGATTAAGACCCTCCCGTGACTTATTGCACCAAATAAAATGTCCAAGCTCCCCATGGCCTGCAAATCCTGTGTGGCCTGGCCCCTGCCTGGTGCTCCCATCCCCTGGCTGGCCACCTGTGTGTCCTGTGCCAGCCACTCCAGTGTTTGGAACACCGCAAGCTCTTTCCCTCCTTGGGGCTTTCATACATGCTGTTCCCTTGACCTGAAATACGCTTCCCTCAGGTCTCCACTGGGCCTTCCTTTCCCTCCCTCCCCAACCCCAGTCCTGGCCCATCAGAGTTACTCTGCATTACATCATCTTGCTCCTTTGATACCACTCATTGTGACTGTCAAATCTCATGCTTACACATTTGTGTGTTTTTTCCTCTGGACAGAGCCTGTGTGTCCTCTGTGTTCCCAGAGCCCAGCACAGCCTCTGAAAACATTTGGTCTCTTATTAAAGTTTGTTGAAATGACAAGTGAGGCTCAGAGAGGCTGATCACAAGCCCAGGATGACACAGCAGGGAGACAAGGTGAGCCAAGATTCAAATTCAGGATGCTCTGGACTGCCAAATGCACATTCCTAACCCCTCTTCCTGCCTATCTCCAGCCATGCTCCTGGGCTGCCTCCTGCTTGTGGATCACATGAACAATGTGTGGGCCCGTGGGCATCCCAAGTGTGTGTGCACACTTGTGTGCACAAATATGGGAGCATGTAGGGCAAAGGAGGGCTCTGCTCCAGCAGAGTGTTGCCTGTCTACTCCAAAGGCTTCTTTGTGGCTCCAGCTCCCACCATTTCTGGCCCTGTGCCAGGACTGTCTCTTTACACTTTCATGAGGTCCCATCACAAGGTGTGTCCTTCCTCCCTACTCAACCTCTTCCCTGCTTTGTGCCTCCACACCAGGCCCCAAAACACACGACACCTTTAGTGGAATCAAAATGCCGACTCAAGAATAAGTCATCCAGTGTACAAGCTTTAATCAAGGTTGCATAGAAATCACTGTAGTAACATGTTCCTGCAAAAGGTTTGACTTTTCCTTCTAGTATTCCATGTTCACCGATGGTGTTTCTCATCTGGGTGAAACTGACACAGGAACGAGCAATGGGGTGCCATCTCAGTTGTGTTTTCGTCCTGGGATAGGAATGGGAAAGGGTAGCTGAGTGCTTCATGAAGCTACTTAACCGGCTTCTCTGGGTTTTGGACTACTCATGTGTAATTGAATATAGGGCGTGGATATAACTTAAGACAACCAAAGTCCTTATGACTTGTGAATCCATCCATTCATCCCATTCATTTCTCATACATCCATGAATTCACCCAATCCAACATTCTACCAGTCTACCAGTCCAAACATCTTTCTTCCATTCATTGGTCCAGTTATTCCATTCATCCATCCAGTTTGCCATCCATTCAGTTCATTTTCCCATTTATCCATCCACTCATGACTTGATCATTCATCCACCTCGACAACCATTATTTAACCAGTTCATCAAACCAACCATCCTCTCAACATTCATATCTTTGGATATCCAACTGTGTTCAACCAATTCACCATCCCTTCACCAACCACATCCTTCCAACCATATCCAACTAATCTACTCAACCATCTACCCAGCCAGCTGATTCATTTACCCTACCAGTGCATCAGTCCATTTCAGCTAATCACATCCATTCTGCTTTCCAGTCATTTAACTGATGGATTCCATCCCTTCATCCTTCCTTCCATCCATCCACTCAAGCAACCATCTAACCCTTCTATCACCCTTCCCTCTACCTAACCAACCTTCTATTTAGCCACCCAGCTCATCTTCCCATCCATGCTTCCATCCAGCTAATCTGCCATCTGCCCATCCTTCCAATTAACCTGTCCAGTTTATTGGAAGAACTAGTCATCAGTGCATCATATGTACAACTGCTAGAGTTTCTTCTCCCTCTCACCCTTGCCTGTCCTTCCTCTGTGCTCTGGCTTAGAGGCTGCAGTCTTCACCTCACTGCCCCTCCTCAGGGTCCAGCTGGGCTGCTCTCCTTAGTCTGGGGGCCCCTGTGGCCCTTCCCCACTAGCTTGAAAGATACCTGAGCTCCGCCTCTTCGCTTTGCACACCTGCTGGCTCCTCTTGACCAGTTTCCTCTTGTTTACCTTTCCTTCCAAGTTCTTTCTGTTCTTGGAGTGGCTGCAGGAATGGGTGGTGAGCCGCATGGGGCAGTGGTGGGAGTGCATGGTGTGTTTGTAATGCCTCACTGGTGGGCTGGGGCTTGGACTCTGGCTCTGGTAGCCAGGTAGGCTGCGGTGGCCTGTCGGGCTCTGGCTGGAGGTCCGGCTCCGGCTGGAGGTCCGGCTCCGGCTGCAACTCTGGCTCCGGCTGCAGCTCTGGCTGCAGTTCTGGCAGTGGTGGCTGCAGCTGCACTGGTTGCAGGTGTGGCTTTGGGGCCGAGAGTTGCTGCGGGGCTGGGTGTGGGTGTTGGAAAGGCTCTGCGTCTTGGTGTCCATGGGAGGACACGCTTGCAGAGGCAGAGGCCTCCTCCTCCTCCTCCTCTTCCAGCACACCCAGCTTTACAGAGGCCCCGGCAGCCCCTGGTTATATAGTTCGGACCGATTGTGATGGCATAGGCCACAGGGGTGTAACAGATGTGGCCCACCTGGGACAAAACTCCTACCCTTACCCTACCCTTCAAGGTGGGGCAACTTTCAGGGAGCACTCTAGGGTAGTCCCATCTGTTGGTTGAGAGTAGGGACCCCTGGGTCAGATCCAGTTGGGTCCACCTCCCAGATCTGCTGTTCCTTTCCTTCTGGTCACTCCCCTGGACATTCTCCTCTCCAAGTCCCAGTTTCTCTATTCTTTGCTGAATGCGGATGTAAAAATACCTACCCCCACAGGACATTGGACGAAGTCAGTGAGAGAATCTATGTCCAGCAGTTGCCTCAGGGCCAGCCCACAATGAGAGTGCAATAAACATTGTCCAAGCATCCTCAGCTCTTGTTCTTATCCCCCACAGGCAGCCTGGGAGCCAGGAGCACAGCCCTGACCCCAGCAGAGTTGTCTGGGCGGGTGGTCAGCAAGGCAGAGGGCTAGCGCGTGGGTGGGTGTTGAATGACCAGATAGCTTATCGGATGGATGAATGATGAGAGTAACCATATGGACTGATGGTGGTCCTTCCTGGCAAGCCCAGCTCCCCAGCAAGATTTAAAGCTGGGAGATTTAGAGCCAGGTTCAAATTCCACTTTGTGCTGATGTCCAATCTTAGGGAGATCATTTAGGTTTTCGAAGCCTGGTTTCCTTATCTGGTAAAGGGATGTCACTCCTTCCTTCCTGATATTCTTGACAGCCTGAGATGCCTGTCAAGCTGCAGGAGGCCCTTGAGAACTGTCTTCCTGCCTGCTGACTCCACTCCTCTCCCTGCTAATGAGGCCCTGCCATGCAGTGGGAATCACACTCCATCCCTGCTCGGACCTCCCAGCACATGTTGAAGAAAGTCTACACCTGGGTGTGTGTATGAGGCCAGGTCGGAGCGCCCTGGATTCAGGTGTTCTCTCCACAGCCGCCCACCGCTCCCCACACCTTAGCCAATGCCCTTGGTCTTAGCTCTTGGCCACTCTCAGCCTGCCCCTCCCCTCATCTACCCTCAGGAAACTCCATCTCCATCTCCCCTCCGCCGACAGTCTTCCCAGCCCATTTCTATGTCTCAGTCCCTGTTGCTCGTGCACAACTTTGCTTTCATCTGCTTTTATTGTAGTTTATTTCTTAATAAATGTGTCATATTGCTCACGGTGAAAACTGCCCTCATTTGCAGATCGCTTCCTACATGGCTGGGCTCTGGGCCCCATATTTTCTCCCTGAGCCTTGCAGTGATCCTTTCTAGTGAGCTGAACAGTGGCCCCCCAGAAGTTGTGTCCACATTCTAACCCCTTGAAACCTGTCCGTGTGACCATATTTGGAAAAGGCCTCTTTGCAGGTGTAATTAAGGATCTTTAGAGCATCCTGGACTACACAGGTGGGCCCTCAATCCAATGACAAGAATCCTTACAAAAGACAGGAGAGAAGGCACAAGGAGAAGAGACCATGTGAAGGCAGAGGCCGGGGTTAGAGCCATGTAACCACAAGCCAAAGGGCACCTGGAGCCACCATGAGCTGGACAAGGCAGGGAGGATTCTCCCCTAGGGTGTCTGGGGGAACTGTGGCCCAGGTAACTCTCCCTGATCTTACATTTCTTGCCTCCAGAGGGTGAAAGGATAAATTTCTGTTGTTTTAAGCCCCCAAGTTTTTATAATTTGTTACAGCAGCCCTGAGAAACTAATGTACTCTATGAGGTAGGTACAATTGTTACATTTTACAGAGAGGGAACTGGCTCAGAGAGGTTGAGTAACCAGCCCAGAGTACCACAGCTACTCAGTGTTGGAGCCAGGATTCACCTCCAGGCCTGGCCCCCTCTAATCCAGCCTCGTGGTCACTAAAGGATCTGCGGGGGTTAAGGAGGCACGTGCGGCCCTGCCTTGTGTGGGCTTAGTAGGGCTGGTGGGGGCAACACTGTGAGGACTCTCTCTGGGTCTCCAGACCCTGGGCCTCCTCCCCCACCCCTCCACTCTGACTCCCCATTTCCCCACCCTCAAGTGCACTGGGGGACAGAGACTGTGTTTTATGAATTCTGGGACCCATAGTGACTGGCACAGTGCCTGGCGTATGTCAGGGACCCGACGAATGTTTGCCAGGCAAATGAAGGGATGGGTGGATCTGTAGGACTTGGACAAAAGGACAAAGCTGCTGACCAGGTGGTTTGGTTGGGGTCGGGGAGGGTGGTCACAGACAGCTGGGCCGCCTCCTGTGGACCTCATCTGCCCTGTGCCTCTGCAGACCTCAGTGGTGGCCTCTTCTTTGAGTAACCCAAGGCCTCTCCTCACCCCTTACACAACCCCCAAAGAAATGGAGGCTCCCCTGGAAATGCTGCCTCCCTGCCCCTCCAAGCAACCCTCTTCAGGTTCCTTCCCAGATGGCCAGTGCTTAGCAGTCTATTGAGGGAAGAGGACGGGGACCACAGTTGTTATTTCTGTTGGAAAGAAATGGACTAAGGGAGCCAGGCCCAGGATGGGCAACAGACACATTATGATGCTTCTGGAAAGAGGCCAGACTGAGTGGACACAGGGAGGGCCTGGGTTCCGCATCTGTCTCACCCTTTCTCTGGGCTTCCTTTGCTCCTCGCTCTAATGAGGGCATTTGCTCTGCTCTAGCAGCTGGACCGCTTGACAAGGCAGAAGTGAGCCTCTGGTTGGGGTACAGATGGTCACCCTGAGTGTGAGTATGGCAGCGGAGGAGTCAGTGGCTGAGAAGGACTCAGACCCCTCCACTTGCCCTGACCCCAAAACCAGGGCCCGCAAGTTGAATGGAACCACCATGCCTCCAGCAGCAATGCCGGTCTCTGTTAAACACTCACTGAGGGCCAGGCTTGGCCCCACCCAGCATTTCAGTTAGTTCTCCCAACCGACTGACCTGTGGGAGAGCTGTTAATCTCACCCTTAAATAAGGAGGGCAGGTTGAGGTCCAGAAACAGTGACTCACTCAGTGTTACACAGCTAGCACAAAGAAACTGGAAGCAGGTCTGCTGAGCTCCCAAGCCTGTGCTCTTTAAGACTGTCCATGGGAAATGGTATAGCTCAACAGGCAGAGCACATGCTCAATACCCAGAGGTCCCAGGTTCAATCCCCGGTACCTCCTCCAAGCCGAAATCAATGAAGAAATCTAGTTGCGCCCCGCTCAAGAAACAAACAGTACCAGTGAGAAAAGACTATCCATGGTTAGAGCAGGAAGATGGGGGTTTTACTAAGGGAGGTTATGCTGGTCCATTGGGTGCTCTCAGCCTGTAGGCTCAGGCTGGGAGAGGAGTCTTTCCAGAGATGGAGTGGCTAAGATGACTTTCTAGCCCAGACTACCACGTTCTCCACCCCCCGAAGCAGGGGAGGGCAGCTGAGAAGTCGTGGGGAGTGGACCTTGTCAGATAAATAAATTTGGCCAGAATTCAGAACAGAGGTCACTGACTCCTGCTTTTCAACCTCTACATGCTCATGCACAAACACACACACACACACACGCACGCATGCATGCACGCACACATGCACAGTACCCCAGCCATGGGGATGGGGAGACCAGACAGGAGGAGAAGAATTCCTTGGAGACTTTTTATTGACTCTTTTCTGAAAGTTCTTCTCTTTGAAACAGCGGCAGGCACCTCTTCCTGGGCCATCGTCATGGATCAAGAGTGTGTCTGCTCGGGCTTGGGGCCCTGCTGGACCACAGCGTCATCTTCGGCACCTTCCTCCTGCCGCTCAGGCTCCATCAGCAGCAGCTTGCCCTGCACCGGGAGCTCCTCTTCCTCTTCTACTCCCTCTCCCTCCTCCTCTTCCTCACTCTCCGACGACAAGGAGAAGTTGTCCTGACTCACGCAGGCCACAAGCTTCTTCATGGAGGATTCGTGGCCCCGGCCGTGGCCTGTGCCGAGCTTGGCACAGCGGGAACCCATCACCTGCTTTGGCTGCCTCTCTGGACTGGGAGGAAAGGCCACTGGTGGGGAGCAGAGGGGCCACTGAAGGTGGTAGGCAGGATGCTGATGTCACAAAGCCCCTCCCACTATGGAGCCTCCCACCCTCGGATACCTGAGTCTGGGCCGACACCCAACTCAAACCTTGGCCACCAACTGTCCCACAGAGCCCCCTCCACCTACAGGGTAGGCAAAATGCCAGGCCTGTGCCCAGACAGCCTCATCCTGCTGTGTTGCCTCCTCCATCTGGCCTCATTTGCCCTGGCAAAAGTCCCCCTTTTAGCTGAGATGAGAGTTGGGGATAGAATTTCCAGAAGTAGGAGAGTACACAGACTCCTCCCCACATCCCTGTAGTACACAGCCCAAGAGCTATTGACAGTGTGTGTGAAAGGGGCCCACAAGGGAGCCTTCCAGGGGCACTGGAAATGTTTGGTTTCTTGACCTGGGTGGTGCCTTCTCTAGCAGACTTAAAACCAGTGCACTGTACTTTTATAGAACTAAAGAAAACCAACCCTACTCACTCTTCCCTGTCCTCCAGAGTCACCCTTTAAATGCAGTGGATCCTAAGCTTTTGGGGTCCCTAATCTCTTCAGCCACATGTGCCCATACAGCACAATTTCAGCCTGAGAGGGGGACTCAAATGCCCTTGGTCATTTCTGAGCACTAGGAATCCATTTTCTGACACATAATTCAGATCTTGTCCCAAATCCTCAGTAGCTGAATAATGACCCTCCAGGGACCCTGAGCAGGAGAATATCCTCGATTATCCAAGTGGGCCCTGAAGCAATCACCAGTGTCCCTACAAGAGTGGGGCAGAGAGACTTCATACAGGAAGTGGAGATTGGAGATCTGGCCATAGCAAAGGAACACCAAGAATTACAAGGAGCCACCAGAAGCCAGAAAGAGGCAGGACTGGCTTCTGCCCTAGAGCCTCCAAGAGGGAGCATGGCCCTGTTGTGACAATGAGGGTCCTACCTCAGAATTCTAGCAGCCCACAAAGCCTCACCAAATTCAGCCTCTTGCTGGAGCATGCCAGACCTGCTTCCCATCTCAGTGCAGTTCGCACCTTGCCCAGCTTCTTCAGGTTGAGAAGATGGAAGTGGGGCCAACAAGGAAATAGGAAGGTCAGAGTAGAGTAGTGTGGCCTCTGGCGTGATGGCTTCAAGTGACAGGACGCCCAAAGCCCACAATGTCACAGGGTGACACACCAGCACTGTACTTGAGGATGAGCCCCCTGACCTTGCCCCCCCCATGTTTGTGCCGTTTGAATAAAGATCACCCTGACAGGCCAGCAAGTTTCTTATCTCAAGCTTTATTTGGCAGATGACTTTTGCTCATTTTACCCAAGATCTCATGGGCTCCTTGCAAACTCGGGGCTTGAGCATCCGTGGAGGGTTGTCATGGTCTCGTGAGGTGGTTCCTGGCAGATGACTTTTTCTTTCCCTTAATTTCCAACCTGGGGTGTGATGGGCCCAGGAAGGCTTATGGCCGCCTTCTACATCTTCTCCTCCTCCTGATCCTTCTGCAGCCTTTTGGAAAAAGTTCTAGTTACTGAGCCATCTAGGGAACCTGGGTGGATATGGGGTGTGAGGGCTGTCGGATGGGGTGGGGTCCCAGCGCTTCACGAGCCTCCCGCTGCCCTTCTGTGCCAGGGCCCAGAGGCAGCGGGGGTGCCCAGAATGGGGGCGAGGTGGGGGCTTGCCAAACCTCTGCGGTGCCTCCTGTGGCTGCGGGCGCGTCTCCGGCGCCTTGGGCAGGAGCAGCGCCGTCTGTGAATCCTGTGTCTGTAGCGATAGCGGCCTCTGTGGGTCCTTCCGTAGATGCGGACGTCCTCCGGCCTCAGCTCCTGCTCCTGCTTCTGGGCGTCACTTTCTCGCTGCTGCCTGGTGTCCTGCTGTGGACTTTCACTGGGACTCCGTGGGCGGCACTGGACCATTGTGTTTGCAGGTCAGGAGGCTTAGGCTGAGGCTGCAGCAGACCTTGGGGGCTGGGGAGGGGGGCTCAGCCTGCCCACCTGCTCTTGCTGTTAGTAGTGTTGGCTGGGTCTGTCAGCCACTCCCTGGGGACTTGTATATAAAGGGGGCCCCCACTGTGACTTGGCAGCCCCACCCCACCATTGTCCCCACCTTGGTCCCTTCTGTGAAAGCAACACAGAGCATGGCAGCCACCTCGCACCTTGCCCGTAAAACGTGTCCCTCATCCCCCCCAGCTGGTGGGAATCCACAAGTCATTCCCAAATCTTCCTCACTGCCTTTGCAGCTGTGCTGTGATCTGGTGTTTTACAGAGCACAGGGGATGGGAGTGGGACTTCTCTGTCCGCAGTTATCTAGTGCTTACTCTATGCCAGAAATTCCATACATTTACTCATTAACTGAGGCCCAAGAGGTTAAGTGACTTGTTCATGGTCACTGCAAATAAGGAACAAGGCCAGGCTTCAGAGTCCATGCCCTTGGCCCCCTGCCCCCTTCCCAGCCCCAGGGACAGTTCCCTCCCCAAAATGAGTCGTCTTCCCTCCACCCATTAAAATCCAGAATCAGAATCACAGCAACTGCAGGGAGGATGTGGTAGACAGTTGAAAGCCTCCCTCCCAAAGACATCCACGCCCCAATCCCTGAACCTGTGAATGTTACCTTAGGTGCAGAAGGGATGTGCTGGATGTGAGTAACTTGAGATGGATGGATCATCCTGGATTATCTGTGTGTGTTCAGTGTAATCACATGGGTCCTTATAAGATGCAAGAGGCAGGCAGGAGAGACAGAAAGATGTGAAGATGCTATGTCACTGGGTTTGAAGATGGAGGCAGGGGCCCTGAGCCAAGGTTTGCAGGTGGACTCTAGGAGCCGGGAAAGATGAGGAAGATGCTTCCTGAGAGCCTCCAGGACTTGCCCACACCTTGATTTTAGCCCCATAAGGCTCATGATAAATGTGTTTTAAGCTATGAAGTTTGTGGTAATTTGTTACAACAGCAATAGGAAACTAACACAGAGGCTTCTTTATCAGTGTTGTCAGATTCCCCCCAGGGCACTTGCTAAAAATACGAAAGCCAGTCCTTATTCCAGACCCTGCTAAATCAAAATCTCATGGCTAGAGCTTGCCCTGTTTGTAAAAAGCCTGCCCGGGGGGTCTGTGTTCAGCCATCCTGCTGAACTGGGTGTGGAACCAGTCTAGTAGTGGGGTGAATGGGGGCATGGAAGCAAGTTCAACTCAATGTCCTCACCTGCGAAGACGGGGCCGTCAGTACTGGCCTCACAAGTCTGGTGTGAGACCTGGATGGGGCGCCCGCAGAATCCCTGTGCTCCACGGCGCTCACTAAATGGAAGTCGTGACCAACCACCACTCTTGGGATCTGGGTAGGTTCCTGGTCACTGATGAAATGCCCTGGGCTTTGCCACCATGTGATGATTGTGACCCAGGCTCATGTCAAAAACCTGAGCATTCTCTCTGAGCCAAGGGGTTGGAAGTGTTTTGTGAAACACCTTCACATCTCTATCATATGGGTTGAGTTACCTTGTTTCCTCAACGAGGGATGATATTGTACCTGAGAATTAAATGAGCTTCTGGTCAAGTTAACATCACTGTGCCCAGACAGAGCCATCTTTTTAAAGTGAGAATGTCAGCTTTGGGCACTTTGGGGATTGGTGGGACGTAGTGGACTGGTAAATTAAGCTGGTAAATGCTTACTGGCTCTCAGGGGTTAGGGGTGGTTGAGCAAGCCCTGGTTTGTAGCATTTGCCAATTTCTGTGGCCCATTTCAAGCTGCCAGCAGGAAAATCACCGAGCGCAGAGTTGGGGAGAGGTGTGTTCGGAAGCTAGCACGGCTCGGCTCCTGTGCCCACTGGGTAGGAATCTGTAAAAGGAGTGGCTGCGAGAGGCAGATTTGAGTTGGGACTTGGGAGTAGTCAGGAGTTTGGAACAAGATCCAGCGCGACCACCATCACTAACGTCCCCTCTTCCCAGCGTCCCCGAGCCCTCCTCTCCCTAAGTCCCTCAAGGCAAAGAGACGAGAGAGAAGTTTTTTTCCAACATTTATTGACAGGCGGCGTTGTTCGTTAGCAGGCTCCTGTTCATTTCATCGGAACGGTGGCATGTTCAAGGTGTGGCAAGAGGGTCTTGAAGGCTGGTAATAGTTCAGGCAGGAGTGTGGTGGTCTTGCTGCTGTGCGTTTACCTTCTTCTACACCTTATGATGGTGTAGCGGCGGCAGCACACTGCAGAGAACAAGAGAGGAAATTTCAGCAAGGGCTGAACCCCCAGCTCCACCCCAGCTGCCCAGCCCACACCCATGGGGTGGACCCTCTACCTCTCCTCCGCCGCCTCCGACAACATGGCCTCCTTCGTCTGCGACATCTTCGTCTCCGGGGGCGGCATCTGCTCCGGCTTTGGCTGCGGCAACATCTGTATCTGGCCATGGTGATAGGTGGATTCGGCCTGGATGCTCAGAGCAGGGGCTACCACCTTGGTCGAGCCAGCCAACCTGTGAGCAGGTGGAACTTTGTGGGCTGTCAGCCAGGGGCCGACTCCTGGGCCTCTTATAGACGCGGGGAGGGCCCTGGTCATTGTGAGGTCACAGGGGCCTGGACCTCACAGACCAGGGCCAGAGCTGGCCTGCATCATGTCCATATATGGGCATGTGGGAAGTCCTTGGCAAGGGAGGGAGGGGCCGTGACGCGCTGGGGCCTCCATGTCACCAGCCGAGGGGAGACAAGGTGATTTCTCTGTAATGACTCACTCATTCGGGCAATTTCCAAAGTACTACTGAGCACCTACTGTGTGTCAGATTCCAGGGCGGCCCCAGCATATAGTGATAAACAAGGCAGATATATTCCTGTCTAATAAATGTTGTAATCTAACTACAGGAAACATGACTGAAATGACCACACAAGAGTAATTATAATTGTGAAAAATGCTGAGGAGAGAAACTTCGGGCTTTTGTGAGAGTGTATGCTGGGGGGGCTTGACGTCAGGGGAGACCCTAGGAAAGCCTCCTGAGGAAGTGCTGGTGAAGTGAGAACGAGTCAGAGTTGGAGGAGGGAAATTCATCTGGGAAGAGGGAGCAGCTGGTGCCAAGTCCAGAGGCAGCACGTGGTGTGTGACTCCATTTATAGGAGGTATCCAGAAGGGGGAGTCCCTAGATGGATTGGTGGTTGCCCCGAAGCGGGTGGAATGCAGAATGACTGTTCAGTAGGTACGGGGCTTCCTTCTGGGGTGATGAACATGTTTTGGAACAAGAGAGTGGTGATGGTTACCCAATATTGTGGATGTACTCAATGCCATTGAATTTTCACTATAAAGCGAGAAGTTTTACATTACGTGACTTTTATCTCAATTGAAAAAATGTTCAGAAGCTGGACAGGGTGGCAGGAATCAAAGGGAGGCCCAGGGGATGGAGCCGAGGGCATGGGGAAGAGCGGGCCAGACCACTCTCAGCTTTGTCTGACCTTTCCCGCATTCCCATGAATTTTTGGGATAAAGAGGTTAAAAGTTAGAATTAGATTTGGTTGCTTATAACAGAAAACCAAGATAACTGACTTTTGGTAGAAGTTATGTTTCACTTAAGAAGTCAGGTGATTCGAATGGTCAGTAGATTGTCCTGTTTGGGGGATCTACACACTGGAGTATTTGAGGGTAATGGGCATCATGTTTGCCAACTGCTTTCATGTGACTCAGAGAAGGAACGTTAACAATGGGTGCATATCTACATAGAGCAGGAGGGAGAGGAGGGGAGGAAGAGAGGAGAGTGGAGTAAATGGAATAGAATGTTAATCGACCAATCTGGGTGAAGGAGAGTTCTTTGCATGATTCTTGCAACTTTTCTCTAACTTTGAAGGTTTTACAAGATAAATTATTAAAAAATTTTTTTAAAAAGCAAAAGGAAAAGAAGTCAAGAGGAAGGCCTTCCTTGCAGGGCTGGTGTAGGGGCTCCACCCTTATCAAGGACCCAGACTTCTTTTATCTTTCACCTCTGCCCAAGGCAAATGCTTTCCATCCTCAAAGTTGCCTCGTAGTCCAGAATCAGGGCTGCCATGGACCATTGTGCAGGTCGTGTACTGCTCAAAGCTCTGAGCCAAGGGATTGAATGGTGTAGGCCAGGCCCAGCACCCATAGGCATGCTTCTGCCCACGGGAGCTGTTGTTTTTCTAATTAGACTGCTCACAGTGGAAGTCTTTTTCTAATCTGAACAAAGGCACACCAAGGGCTAGCCTCAGCCCTGCTGGAAAATCAGCTATATCCACTGTCCAAGAAGGAAGAAGAAGAAGCGGGGTGGGGTGGGGGTAGGGGGGAGCAAAGAAGTCATAACCCTAGCGGGGAAGGTATAGCTCAACGGTAGAGTGCAGGCTTACTTAACATGCACAAGGTCCTGGGTTCAATCCCCAGTACTTCCATTAATATGCAAACAAACAAACCTAATTATCACCTCTCCCCCCAAAAGGAGTCATAATCATGTAAAGAGCTTTCCCAGAGACCCCCACCCAGCAACTTCTGATCGTTTGCCTTACAGCAAGAGCACCTGACCCAGATAAATCTGGGGTTCTTAGGAAGAAGAAGGGGGCCCGTGGCTAGTTTGTTAGTAGTCTTTGCCTCAAAGGGGATGTAACCAGAAACTTCCAAGACCCGCCCCCCAACCCCCAACAAGGTGGGAAAGCCATGATTTTGAAGCTACAGTCCAGTAAGTTACAAGAGGCCCACATCTGGCGCCTAGCAGGTTAGCAATCAAGTCTCACTTATTGACTCATGTCTTGATCGACTTAAAATTATCAACCCCCAATTCTATGACACTTAATACTTTTTGAAGATAACCTGCACAGTCCCGGAGGAGCCCCGTGAGATGACAGAGATGGGGATTTGCCCTGTTTTGCAGACGAGGAATCTGAGACATGCAGGCCAGATCCCTCCCTCACTCAGTTGTTTATTAAGACCTGCTCTGTGCCAGGCGCCCTTCTAGGTGGTGGGAATACAGCACAAGCAAGAGGGTGCTGTATTCTTGTCCCCACAAAGTTTGCATTCTTAGGGCAGACAGTATTCAAGTGAACAGACAAAGGAACAAAAGACTTTGAAGTTTATTACAAATATGCATAGAATCAGTTGATGTGACCCAGGCTGACTAGAGGGTTACTTTAGGGTGCTTGGGAGAGGCCTTCTTGAGAAGGCGACATTTGAGCTGAGAGCTGAGTGATAAGAAGGAGCCAGCTGTGCCAACATCTGCCCAGTGTGGATGCCCCCACTGGGGAGGGAGTGAGTGGCTCTGCTCCACACAGTCACTTGGGCGCAGGCGACCACAGCGCTGCCTTCAGGGTCACCTGGCTTCCAGTGCGTCCTGGACATCCCTATCCTGCCTCTGCACGGAGGGAGAGGGGATAAGGAGGGCGCCTCCGCTTATTAACTGCCTTGGCCTGGAAGTGACACACTCCACCCCTGTTCCCACGTCATTGGCGAGCCAGTCCCGTGACCCCGTGGATGCAAGGAAGGCGTAGAGTCCAAGCTCGTGGACTGCGTCTCCCAGCAGTGTCATGCTGTGGAAGGGACTGCGGCTCTATGGGGTGCTTCTCTCCCTCTGCCACAGAGCTGGAGGGACCACGGTGGCTGGCAGGACACTGATAAAACAGGGAGATCTGAGAAAACCGCTCTGAGGCGGGGACGTGTGAGCTGAGACGTGGCTGGTGGGAGAGGCCCGTTTGAGGACTCAGCAGGGAGGCAGGAAAAAGCTTGGGACAAAAGGAAGGCCCCTGTGGCTACAGAGGAGGAAGCAAGTCTTGGGCTTAAGGTTTAGTGGAGGAGACAGGCATTAATCAAATCATCACAGAAACGGGTTGTACGTCCTGGCAAGAGGAGGCCTGAGCTGGGGCGTTAGGCCCGGTCTGGAGTCGGAGGACTGCGGTAGTCCCAGCAATGCTGGGGTTTGTGGGTTCCAGCAGCTGGCTGTTACCCTAAATAATGCACTACTTGCCACTAACTCATACTTACTGCGTTTATTATGTCTCCAAGCAGAATATAAGTGCTGTGAGATCAGGAGCTAGCTTTGCCCACTGTGGCAGTCCTAGCCCTGCACGTCATCAGTACACAAAAGAAATCCAAATATTTGTTGAAGAACTGAACGATAAATGGACGCTTTGTATGAGAAAATACTTTCATTGTCATCTTCCAAATAGGAAATCATGGTATCATATTATGATTTTTTTAACATTTTTTATTGAGTTATAGTCATTTTACGATGTGTTAAATTCCAGTGCAGAGCACAATTTTTCAGTTATACATGAACATACATATATTCATTGTCACACTTTTTTTCGCTATGTATTATGATTTTTGAAATGTCACACACCCTCTCCCTGGCTGCTGCCCCAGGCTGAGAAATCTTTGAGACTTCTGCCATCTCAAACACACACTGACTCTCAGAGGGACATCCAGTTCTGTCCCCTGAGGTCCTGGTTGGTCAATCACATGGTGTGTCCTGCCCTCCCCCCCACCCACACACACACATCCATGATGTCACAATGGCCACCCATCACCTGGATCAAAGGAAGATGTCACCAAAGAGATGAAGGGAGGGGAAGTGGCTACGTGCTCCCCTCTGCCTTCGGGAAGGATGGAGCCAGGCAGTTGATCCTCAGGGTAATAACGATTGGCAGTAGGAAGACAGTGCTTTAAATGTGCCGCTGCAGCCACAGTTCTGCAGCCAGGGGTCTGTCCTGAGGGAATTGCCACACGTGTTCATGAAGGTGTGTGGAGGAGGGTTCTCATTGGAGCATTGTTTGTGGGAAAAAAATTGCATTACATTACTGTTCATCTTAAGGAAATGGTCAGTTGTTACATCCATATTGTAGAACAGCTCTTGGCCGTTCAGAAGAACAGTATGGAGTGATGTGCGCACAGAGAGATGTCCACGATGTATCAACACTAAGCAAATCACTAAAATGTAGGATGTCATCTCATGTTTGTAAAAAGCTTTTTTATGTTCACACATGCATAGGGAAAAGTCCAAAATATAATATATTGACTTAGCGGTGAGGAGTGGAATCATGGAAGATTTCACTTTCTGTTTTATTCATTTTTGTATCATGGAATTTTTTACCTGTGTGAGGGCCACGGCTTTGCTAAATATTGAATGAGTTATTTCCATCATCAGAAAAAAAAATGGAAAATCATAATCCCCATTATCTTGTTATCTGAGCAACTGCTGTGATCCCATTGCGTTGTCAGGTTATTTTTTTCTTTAATAAACTTAACTTTGAGGAAAAGTGGAAAAGTTAGTTACAGAAAGCTCCCGTCTACTTCTCACCCAGTTTCCCCCACTGTTAATGTTCCACACCACCATGCACATTTGTCAAAACTAAGGAACCGGCGCTGGTGCGTTGCTATTAACTGAACTCCAGGCTCCATCTGGATTTTCCCAGTTTTCCCCCTAATGCCCATTTTTGTTCCAGGATTCAGTTCAGGGTATCACATCCAGTTTTCCTTATTAGCAACGTCTTATTTGGGATGGTGTGTTTGTCACAATTAATAAAC